AGTCAGGCAGAGAAAAAGAAATACCACATGTTCTCACTTATTTGTGGGAGCTAAAAATAAATAAATCAATTCACACACACACACACGCACACACAAAACAAAAAACAAAAACAAAAAAAACTGGGGCGGGGGGGAGAGGAAGATATAACAACCACAACTTTTTTTTTGAAGTTCTTACAACAAGCAAATGGAGGGGACACACTTGGGTGGGAGGGGGAAGAGGGAGGAGGGAGGGAGGTTTCGGTGATGGGACATAATAATCATCTACAGTGTATATTGACAAAATAAAAATAATAAAAATAAATAAAATAAATAAAATAAAATAAAAAATAAACTATAACCCCACCTATGTCTCTTCCTGTAACTTCCTGTTCTGGAAAGTAAATGCAGGAAGAGAACCCCAATTTTGGGTTAATTTCCCGAGGAAGGGATGCCTCTTGCTTGAGCATTCCCACGGGAAGTTAACCACTTCAGGGCCTCTCACTGTTCAGAAGAGATGGGCTTTGAGTAATCCTTTCATCTCCGTCACCGAGGGGAAGTGGGGTGACAAATCCATGGGGGGTTAAAGCAACATAAAGCAACAGTATACCATTTAGTGCAATTTATAATCTAAGCACCCACCTTAGGAACTGGAAAATGAAGAGCAAATTAAATCCACAGTAAGCATAAGAAAAGAAATAAAAATCTTAGAGTAGAAATCAATAAACTCAAAGACAGGAAATCAATAGAGAAAATCAACAAAACCAAACGCTGGTTCATTGGAAAGTCAATAAAATTCATAAGCCTCTAGCCAGCTTAACAAGGAAAAAAAGAGAGAAGACACAAATTACTAATATCAGAAATGTAAAAGAGGATATCACTACTGATCCCAGGTACATTAAAACTATTATAACGGAATACTATAAACAATCCTATGCTCACAAATTTGATAACTTAGACACATGGACCAATTCTTCAAAAAACACAATCTACCAACACTCACACAAGAAGGAGTAAACAATTTGAATAGTTCTACATCTATTAAAGAAATCAAATCAATAATTAATTACTTTCTAAAACAGAAAGCATCAGACCAAGATGGGTTCACTAGTGAATTCTACCAATGTCGGGCCTTAAAAACTAACGCCACCTTAAGTGACATTACAAGCGGCCCCATTATGGGCCCACAAGGGTGTATTAACGTGGCAGCCTAAGATGGCTCCAGGAGGAAGTAGGGTGGGAGTGTCTGCAGGAACCTTGCCTTAGCCCTTATTGGCCAAATACATGCTTCAGTGCTTGTGAACACTGCGTGATTGCAATAGCTAGGCATTGAGATAGGATGCATGCTTTCGTAACCTTTAAGCTGATTGGAGGATGTAAAAACCTCCCTTCCCCATTTGCCTTTAAAAGCAAGTGCCTGTGTGATAATAAACGGAACTGCTCAACAGAACCCCTGCCGCATCTGAGTGTCCTTTAACGGGCTGGTTGGGGCCGGCGGCTGTGCTCACCTCTCTTCATGGCTCTCTTCCCCCGTCTCCTCCCAACAGGGACCGGAGGGAAAGAGGAATCCGGCTAATTCGCTCGCCCACCAAGAGAGAGACTGATAACGGAAGCTAGGGCTGTTCGGGTCAGCTGGCGGTGGACCCGACATACCAAACATCTAAGGAAGAAATTATACAGTTCTCTACAATCTCTTCTAGAAGAGGGAAGCAAAAGGAACACTTCCTAACTTATTCTATGAGGTCAGCATTCCCTTAATATCAAAACTAGACATTACAAGAAGAAAAACTGTAGACCAATATCTCTCATGAACACAGATGCAAAGTCCTCAACAAAATATTAGCAAATCAAATCCAACAATGTATAAAAAAGAATTACACACCATGACCAAGTGAGATTTATCCCAGGTCTGCAAGGCTGGTTCAACATTCAAAAATCAATCAACATAATACATCACATCAACAGGCTAAGGAAAAAATACATAATCATATCAATAGGCACTGAAAAAGTATTTTACAAAATCCAACATCCACTGATGAGTAAAAACTGTCAGCAGACTAGGTATAGATGGGAACTTCCTGACTTTTTAGATATAATGCCAAAGGCATGATACATGAAAGAATCGATAAACTGGACTTCATTGAAATTAAATTTAAAACTGCAAAAGACACTTTCAAGAGAATGAGAAGACAAGGCACAGACTGGGAGAAAATACTTGCAAAAGACACATCTGAAAAAGGAATGTTACCCAAAATGTACAAAGAACTCTTAAAACTCAACAAGAAGAAAATAAACACAATTTAAAAGGGGCAAAAGACCTGAACAGACACCCAACCAAAGAAGGTAGACAGATGGTAAATAAGCATATGAAAAGATACCAACATCGTAAATCATTAGGGAGTTACAAATTAAAACAACGATGAGATACCACTACACACCCACTACACTGGCCCAAATCCAAAACACAATATGAAATGCTGACAAGGTTGTGGAGCAACAGGAACAATCAATTCTTACTTCCTCAGGGTAAGTTGGTAAACAGAGGGAGATTTTGAGATGGACATAAGATTCAAGTTTTAAAATAAAGTGAAGTAAGTATTAGAAACTGAAATGGGACTAGCTGAAAAAGGGACAATGATCAAAAAATTAAGTCTTGTAGCCAAGTTGTTAACAGATGTTTCCTAGTGAGAAAGGGGGGCTATTGAGGACAAAGATTAGGTAGGTATTACAAATATGTAATTGTTTATATATATGATTATATATTTTTATAAGTAATATAAATTTTTAAAAATTACATACACACATACACACATATGATAATCAAGGATGTGGCGTGTCGGATGAGCCTTGAGAAATGGGTTGGAACTTGGGCTATACCTGGCTGGGAAACAGGAATTCAAGCGAAGGGAAGAGCTTGAGCAAAAGCGGCAAAAATAGTACAGAACTGCTGCAGGAAAGTGCTGTAGGAACTGGCCTACAGGGCCACTTAGAAGTCCAGATTGGCTGGAACATTAGGATGTGTAAAGGGGACAATAGGGCTGGATGGCTGGATGGGCAGTTTACATCAAATGATGGCGGTGACTGAGGTGAGGCGCCATGTCTATTTTCCTCCCTACTGTAAACCTAACTTATAGCTGGTGGTCAATTATCCCTTGCTGACTGAATGAATAATAGAATGAAGTGACTGGACTGCCAGGAGGTGGAGCCTCTCTTTCATGCATTAAGCAAAGGACAACCAGTAAGGATAATGTTCAGAGGGTAGAAGTGTGTTTCAGGAACATTACTGAAGATCCTTATTCCCATTCGGGGACGAACTAGCCTCTGTTGGGAGGCTGAACAAAGAACAGTAGCAGGACTCCTCTAAAGGAGCACACTCCAGCCTTTCCTTTTGGGGACCGTGGTTGAGTCCCAGCATCAATACTTGCTGAGTGCTGCCTCTCACCCTAGGATCTTTCTGCTATTTGTAATTTCCAATCCACTTAGGCCACTTTTACTCTTTGGAAACCGTTTCTATCCGGGTCGTGAAAGGAGACAGACAGTATAACAGGACCCGAGGGACGCCGGGTCCTTGGGACCGCCCCATTCCACCACTGACCAGGTGCCCCTTGCTCGTGTCCTGCTCGGAAAGGCCGAACAGCTGGCGGCGTCCGCTGCTCGCCCTCCACACTACGAGGGGGCGCCCTCGGCCCCCGGCCCTCCTAATTCGCAGGCATGTGCTTTCCCCTGCCGCGCCGGGTTAGGCCACATCCTCTGATCCAGAAGGCGCGTCAGACTTCCACACCGGCCAATCAGAACTGTCCATGTACTAGTGGGGGCGGGGCTGCTGAGAGGAGGAAGATGGCGGCGGGGGCGAGGTGAAGTGTTGGCGGTGGGAAAGGGTCTGGGGGCGGGGAGACGTGGAGCGATGGACCGCGCGGGCCGCACGGGCAGGTAAAAGGCCGTCGCGCCGCGGCTGTGGGCGAGAGGGAGAGGAGGTCGCCCGAGCGCCACAAGAGTATGACGGGGCTGTACGAACTGGTGTGGCGGGTGCTGCATGCGCTGCTCTGCCTGCACCGCACGCTCACCTCCTGGCTCCGCGTTCGGTTCGGCACCTGGAACTGGATCTGGCGGCGCTGCTGTCGTGCCGCCTCCGCTGCGGTCCTAGCGCCGCTCGGCTTCACGCTCCGCAAGCCCCCGGCTGTCGGCAGGAACCGCCGTCACCACCGGCACCCGCGCGGGGGGCCGGGCTCGGTCGCCGCCCACCCCCGGGTTCGCTGGCGCGCGGACGGCCGTTCCCTAGCGAAGCTGCCTGTGCACATGGGCCTGGTGATCACGGAGGAGGAGCAGGAGCCCAGCTTCTCGGACATCGCCAGCCTCGTGGTGTGGTGTATGGCCGTGGGCATCTCCTATATTAGCGTCTACGACCATCAAGGTGAGGCCCGGTTGGGGGGCGTGCTGGGAGGTGTCTCCTACCGCGAAGACCGCACATCTGGCAGGTGTGTCCCGCGCGTGCAGCACACGGCCGCCCTTTGAACTCGGCGAGGTCGGGCGTCCCCGCGGCCCTATGTGCAGATCACGGTGCTCTTGCTTTCGAGGAAGGGAAATCAGCCTTATTGAACACCTTCTAAGTCCCTGGATTTGATTCAGTTGCTTTTTAGCGTTTAAAAAAGAGTTTTTATTCTTTTTAATACCCCAGTAAGGTAGGTGGTGTTTGTATTCCCTTATTTCACAAAAGAAGGAGCTGAGTGAGGATAAAAAACATTAACTGATTTGCCCAAGGTCACAAAGGTAGTAATGTGGCAATTGATATTTTAGCCAGTTTGTGCTTTTTCACCTTCTTTGCCTGTTAATAACATCACGGTGTTTCTTCAGAGAGGTTCAAGGCACTCTTGTTAAGTCGCACACTGTGGAGGATATTTGAATGGGCTGTGTGGTAGGTACTGCGAATGGTAGCGGTTTTGGCCAAGGCGCATTTGAACTGGGTTTATGAAAAGTATGAGAGAGATTGGATAGGCAGAAAGGCAAATGATCCTCTTCTGTTATTGGAAGGCTGGGATGGTGTGTGACCCTTGATCCTCAGTGGCCGGCACAATAGTTGATAGAATTGTTCTCCCATAGGTTTTTTTTTTTTTTTTTTTTTAATTTTTATTTTGTCAATATACAATGTATATGATTATTATGGCCCTTCACCGACACCTCCCGCCCTCCTCCCTCTCTCCCCTCCCCCCCAAGAATGTCCTTTCCGTTTGCTTGTTGTAACAACTTCAAAAAAAAGTATAGTAGTTATATCTTCTTCCCCACCCCACCCGACCCCGGTTTTTTTTTGTTTTTGTGTGTGTTTGTGGGTGAATTAATTTGTTTATTTTTTTAGCTCCCACCAATAAGTGAGAACATGTGGTATTTCTTTTTCTCTGCCTGACTCGTTTCACTCAATATTATTCTCTCAAGGTCCATCCATGTTGTTGCAAATGGCAGTATTTCATTCGTTTTTATAGCTGAGTAGTATTCCATTGTGTAGATATACCACATTTTCCGTATCCACTCATCCGATGATGGACATTTGGGCTGATTCCAGCTCTCTCCCATAGGTTTTGATTGAGGGAATGCATTTCACCGTAGGGAACTTAAGTACAAAAATTCAACACTTACTGGGTAGCTGCTAGCCTGAAGCATTGTGCTAGGCATATCTCTTGGAATCTTACACTTAATTCTACGGACTCTCAACTTCGTGGGGAGGTAGGCACATAATCACATAGGTGGTATGGTTGATAAGTGTTGGGAATAATGTAGTATGAGAAGGGAGGAGAGAAATTCTGAATGGAGGAACTTGAATTTCATGTAGAGGAGATGGGATTTATTTATTTATTTATTTATTTTTTCCCCTTTTTGTCTTTTTACTGACCGGTAATGGGATTGCAACCCTCGGTGTCGCGCCCTTACCGGGGACCGGCAACGGGATCGCAACCGTCGGTGTCGTGCCCGCACCGCGCTCAGCCAGTGAGCGGAACCAGTCTCCACATGGGATCTGAACCCTCGGCGGGAGGGCGCACTCTCCAGAGCGCCACTGGGCCGGCCAAGGAGGAGATGGGATTTAAACAGGACATAGAAAAATAGGTGGGAGATCAAGTTGAGGAAGGCTCTAAATGTTAGGTTTCGGTTTCAATCAAATCCTGAAAACTTTGGAATTTCCTTAAAGGTAAAGATGTGTTGATAAGAATGATTTAGAAGTATTGGTATAAAGGAAAGAAAATGAATGTTTTATTCTCTTTCAATTACTTAAATTACCAGTATGCTCTAGAGAAGCTATAACTTGATTTTACCTTTAAATCTTTGTCAGATATGTAGATTTAAGTGCAGGGTTTTGTCAGAAAGGATAGGTCTAGGTCAGACAGTAACTCTTACAGGGTAAGAGTAATCTCTGACTTCCCTATCATCTTCCTTGCAGCCAGCAGGGAATATCATGACTCAGTAGCCTGTCATCCTCAAATGATGGTTTGACTTGTAGGATAGAGTTTAATATATTCAGGGACTGACATTTTATGGAACTTGTTAAAAAACTTAGCAAACCAGTAGAAATCATGAGACTGTTAGGAGGTGACACATTCCTTGCCTAAACCAATGCAACCAATATTGTTGGGGAAAAAATTAACTGAAGCAGAAATGGAAATTAGTTAAAGATATTAAGCAATGTGGTAATTAACTTATATCCAGGTGATTCTTTTAAAGCAAGTACCTTTGTCTTCCAGCAGGGAAGGGAAATGTATAGCTAAATTGTTTGACTTGGTGACTGTGTGTACTAGCATAGAGTATAAATATTGCCACACTTCCTTGTTCCGTCAATTCCTGTTATTGAATTGCTGATGTGATTTAGAAATATCCCGTGTCATATTTGATAAAAGAAAAATGATTGGTAATGAAGAGGAAGTCAAGCCAAACCAAGTTTTGACTGAGAACTGAAAGTAGCATTTTCAGTGCATGAATTTAGATGATCTTATTCTTATTATAAAAACAGTTTCTTTCTTTCTTTTTTTAAGAGATAAGGGATAATTTCATTGCTTGAAATGAGAGATCTTCAATTTACCCAGCCTTGTTTTTGATTCATTCATTCATACAACAGGTGACAGTTGGTACTCTTCCAGGAAGCAGTGAACAAAACGGACAAAAATTTCTATGCTCACGGAACTTAGATTTTAATGGGAGTCTGACAAATAATATAAATGGGTAAAGTATGTGGTATAGTAAGTGCAATGAAGAAAAATAAAGGAGGGAAGGTTGATGGGAGCAAAGTCAATGGTGTAGGAACGGGTGCAGTTTTAAAGGAAAGCCTCAGTGACCTTTGAGTATAGACCTGAAAAGAGGTGAGAGCAAACCATGTGGGTATGTGAGAAATATTGGCCTTTTTTTAGGGAAAATACTTATAGATACTTAACTTTATTCAGTATTTTTCTAATAAACTTCTTTTTACGCTTATTTCTATATAGATATTTAACTTATTAAAAAATGCTATGAACATACTCATAAATGCCACATTTATTCAGTACCTACTGTGGTATAGAGCACTGGGATACAAAGTACAAGAAATGGTGTCTCTTAAGGAATTTACACTCAAGTAGAATGTCTACTAAAACTTAACATAAGCTAATATAGAAGTGCTAAGTTAATGTCAGAGACTTTATGTGAGAGAAAAAGGGAAAATTTTATGAGGAGCAGGTTTACCTCCATATGTCCCTAGTAAGGAAGGGAAGTAACACTTGAGCTGGACCTAACAAAAATAGGTAGAATTTGGATTTGCATGAACAGTACAGTGTTCTCTGTGTGCATGAATGGAGAATTCCCCAGTGGCAGCATTTCTATTAGACTAGCTTGAACAATAGCATTGAATATTGGGAACAATGAACGTAACAGGTAAGTTTATATAATGGAAAGTTGGGAAATGAGGTTAAAGGCTTGGACAACTGTTCTGGTTATCTTTTGCTTTGTAGAAATCTACCCAAGGCATCGTGTTGTAATACACTAATTTATGTGTTGGCCCAATTCAGTTGGGCAGTCTTTCCTTTGGGTCACTCATAGGTTGGAGTCAAATAGCATCTGGAACATAAAGCTTTCTTGTCATATGTCTAGTGCCTGCTTTGTGATGGCTGGAATAGATGAGGGCAGGTTGGTCATCTCTATCTTCATATGGTCTGGAGGTCATGGCTAGCATGGGCATCCTTATTTAATAGTGGCGTCTGGGTAATCAGACTTCTTACCAAGTAGCTCAGTTCCTCTAGCAGGTATTCCCAGAGACTTAGCCAAAGGCTTAGCAAGGCTTCCTGTGATCTAGCTTAGGAAATCATGCAGTGTTGTTTTTGCTATCTTCTCTTGTTCAGAGACGTCACACATCTGCCCCAAATCAAGAAAGTGGAGAAGTAGACTTTACCTCTCAATGGGAAATAGTTGGTGTGGAAAGGTGGAGGGGTGTGGGGAGATTGACGACAGCTATTTTGGAGACAAGCTACATTACATTTTTCCCTGCCCTACACCCCATCACCCAAAAATCTGTAAATAAGTATTCATGCTGATTATGGTTGGATCTAGATTATATTTAATCCTTAGACTAAAAAATCTACTGATATTTACTTTGATTTGACTCTGTCAGCAAACTGATATTTTTATTTTTCATTTACCTGCAGTATTTCTTGAATATAATAATTTCTGCCATTAATTCTTTCATTTATCAGAAACTGCAGTTTTCTCAGTGATAAGGAATTTTTTTGAGCTTAGAATCTAGTAAGGAGATTTGGCGCTTTTGTTTACATGATTAAAATTTAAGAAATTAGCATAACTGCGATGGTACAAAAACCAGAGTTTGGGGCATGACTTTGACTTAAGTGGTTTTTGATGTTACAGCCTTAGGGATGTTATACTTGCCTGTGTCTTATTGAAATACACCTAACTCCAAGTTATTTTCCTGTGTATTGCTATCTTCAGTGATGGAACCTCTTATTGCCTTGCTGTATTGTGTCATGCTGGGAACCTTGCTATGTGCCAGTATTTTTCAAAACCAAGTTTGTATCCTATGAATGAGTCATTGGGGGATGCTCATAAGAAATACAGATTCCACACACTTACTGATCAGACAGAATTAGGGGAGTGGGACCTGGGCAACTCTTATTTTTTTTCTGCAAAGGTTTTGTTCTGCACAGAGGGGAGAGGGGGCTCGGTACTTCTTGGCAGCTGTTTTTCTCCTGGTGGCCAAGACATCGCTCAGCTCCTCTTGCTTCTTGGTGCGAATGTGTATCCTTTTCTTGATGAACTTGAGGGCCCATTTGTCCTTGGAGACCTTGAGCAGTTCCATGGTGCACTTCTATCAGGCAAAGCCACACACTTCTTGGGTCATGTGTTATGTCCTGCATGAACTTTGTATGCTTGGTGAGTTTTATATGATTTATA